TTTTTTTTCAGCTAAGTATTCAAACTTTTGAAACCAAATTTGTCAAAAGTTATAGAATTTAAAAAGTTAAAGCCAGGTGTTTATAAGAATGCTGAATCCCATGAAACACTACAGATACAGAATTCATTAAGAGATTAGATTTTTACCATTTAATTTTACACCCAGCTGAAAATTTCAGATAAGACACAATTCCAATCTGATACAGTTTTATAATTCAACTTAACTGATTGCATTCGGACAAGAAACTTCAATGAATATACCCTGCAAGTCCTCCAGCGACTCCTATGTTTCCTTTTAAATCCCAGGAAAACCCAAAGATTCTCCTACAGCACTGGCAATGACAGAAATCATCCAGGAAAACCCAGGAACCGATCATATAGCAAGGTGTAATGTGTGTGTGCACAGTGTCAAAAGAAAAAAACAGCAGACCCTAACTATTAAGTGACCCTGGGCTTCTGAAAGGAACTGGACACTTGGGAAAGCCCAGGTACAGTAGGAGGTGGCACTAAGTTCTGGACAGCACAGCAGCCCTAATCCTGCGGCTGATCCATCTCCAGACTTTGCTGTTTGCTCCTCTCCAGCTGAGTTGGAGTCTGGTGGAGCCACAAGGATCTCTGAAGTCTCTGCCACACGTCCTCTCTGTCACTAAGCATTTCCTTTCTTTGTTTGCTCCTGCCATTTTTAAAAATTCATGTTAGCCCTTAAATAAATAAGAAAAATACACCAGAATACCAATAGAAAAAATAGGCAAAAGACTTGAACAATCCATCCTTAAAGAGGAAAAGGAAAAAAAAAAATGTACATGTCAAGAAACTAGCATTTTTAGTAACAAAGGAAATAAAAGTTTCAAAAATACCATGTTCGTCTATCAAGTTAGCAAAGATTTTTCAAAAGATATTATGTTGGTGAGAACCAGGCGTTCTGGCCAAGCATCAAGCCTACACAATCTCACACACACACACACACACACACACACATGCTAAACAGATATGCAGACAAAAGCCAGGCATAAGGATGTACATCAGTTACAATAGTAAAATATGGGGAATAACATAAAAATCTAAAAATAAAACAATGGCTATGTAAATTAAGACATCCATACATTGAATTATTTTCCAGTCACTAATTGTATTAAAAATACCAAAACTGGCATTAAATACCAGTTTTAATTTTTTGGGAAACACCAAGAAAGTAATGTTAATTTTTTAAAAAGCAAGTATGAAATTCTACAATATAATTCTAATTCTTTAAAAAATAGTATGCGTTATGTATAATGACAAACTACCCTGTAACTTCAATAGCAATTCCTTAGGCATTGAGATAATTTTAAGTTCTTATCATATGCCAAGCACATGTTCAGCACCTTATACACACTGCATTACAGTTATGCTTATAAACATCTTAGGAGGTGAGTCTTTATCCTTGTTAAAGAAACCGAGACACAGAACAGGTAAGTAAATTGACCACGCTGAGAAAGCTCTTACATGGAAAAGCAAGGACATAAGTTAAGGTCAGCTTGACCTAAAGTTTCTATTCATCATATCCATGTCTGCCCATGCAATTTAAAATTTTCTGTTTCATATATTTTTATGGACTCTAGAGATTCTAAAATAAACATTTGGTGCCTTTATAATTTGTAAACAAATCAAGAATATAAATGTTATATTAAAGTAAGCATATTCACAAAATGATGATTCTAAAAGTTGCTTCCTTCAAAGGTGTTGGACCATAAACAGGATCTTTATGATCTCAAACTAGTGTACTTAGTAATGAGCATGAGCACTCCTTTTAATAAATGTAATCCCAAAGGCTTTCATGAGCCACGTCAATTCTGCAACATTTATTCATTTAGGAAATACTTATTTAACACCTGCCTTTTGCCAGATATTGTACTAGGTGTTGGCACAACAGCAGGAGAACCAGTCTAAAATACTTTCTTTGGATATTAGGAAAGTCTTTGGGGGATAAGTGGAGAGGGAAAAGAGGGAAGATGAGACTGTCAGACTAACACTGAAAGTCCTGACTACATACATCTAAGGAATGTTTGTTTTTTTTTAACTTCCATAAAAACTTGTAATATTTCTGAGGATCCAGGACACCCCTCTGTAAGTGTCATACAATTTGAAGCCTCTACAATGCATTCATATTTTACTCTAATTATACTAGTCAGATGAACTCAAATGCTTTTACACATCATATAGTATTACTCTCAGCACAGGCTGTATGTTTGCTTTCCTGGGTGGTACAGTATTTTTATTGTTAAGTAAGCAGAACTGGACTATCAGAAGAAGGATTCTTAGCAGAAATGCGGTTGGATGGAATTCCATTCCTCTTGGCTCCATACCTCTTCTCTTTGTCTGTGCCCACCTTCCACTTTTCCAGAAAACCTCATGTCTTTCAGCAAATGTCTTCTAATGTGAAGGCTATTGTCTTCACAGCTGTAGATTAACAGGTAAATGCTTTCTTACTTTTTAACTTACGAGTCAACCAAAATTTTTATCAATTTAGACTTTTACTTGGCTGTTTTAATAAGATCAAATAAGTGAGAATACATATATTATAAATAAGTATACATTTTTCCTTGTCTACAAAGTCCCAGGCCCTAGTGATAGAAAATGTTAAGAATATTATTATTAAGAAAAATTATAAGCAGTCCATATGAATGACAATGACTTAGACTTTCAATATTGAGTTCAAATAAATTTGCATCTTGCAGGGAGATCCCTAAAAGCAAAGAGTTATCTATTCGAGAAGGAAAAGCTGAGATGCCTTAGAATTGAACATGGACAGCAAATTAACTCTCCTTGTTAATTCCCTTCCAGGGGGACTAAACACCAAGGAATCACTGAGAAACCACAGCAAAAAAGATCTAAGTATGTACAACAGATACCTTAAGTTGTTTGTAAACTAGGTGGTTTTCTTTATCTTTCAGACTACAAATCTAGGAGGAAGGATGAGTGCCCTTAGTTCTGGGATCAGATGTCACTGCCATGGAGATTCATCTTATTTAATAAATGATACCATCCAATCTTTTCATAGTAATGAACACTTGTTTTGTCATCTTCAAAAATCATATACTACCCTCCCATAGTTTCTCTAAATAGTTTTTTAAGATTATAAAAATACTCAGTAAATCTACTCTCCTATGAGTGTGCTAATTACTGTTTTAGTTCATGCTAACAGAAGAAATGGCTTAATAACAGTAACTTAACTGGAGGAGGTCAAACTGCTCATTCATTTAAACTAATGAGTACAAATCACCTTTGCACTTAATATTAGGGCTATAATGTATATTTCACGGGTACCTGCTACTATTGCTACAAAAGGCTTTAGAAACAAATACAATTTAAAGTGTTTCCGTTTTCAAAATTATTTAATATACATAGTGTCTAGGAGATATGCGACTAGCAGGAAAACTTTATTTTCCACTACAACAATAAAAACTGTTTCTTGTATCTCCAATTAAATGATTTCAGAAGGATTCATTACTCTGAAAACCAGTATGTATGAACGCCGGAAATTCAGATGACATCCAGTCTCAGAAATGTTTATTCGAAATGGGAACCAAACTATAAGATTTCTCTCTATTATTTATGATAGCCTTCCCATGATGGAAATAATCTCCCTGTAAAATAATCTAACAAGGAAGAAAGAAACAAACTATGGGAAGCCTGCAAAGTTCTCTGGACAAACCTTCCAGAGACTCTTTTAAAGAAGGAGGCATTTATCGAAGGGTCAGGGAGGTTAGGAAAACTATGCCAGGAGCCCGGGTCAGTCTTCCCCGGAGCGACCGAGATTGTCCCAGGTGAGCAGTGTCCCGGGCTCCGGATGGAGGCTGGGGACGCAGGGCGGGTCCCCGAACGGCGGGCATCTTTTTGGCCAGGCGACCCCCTCTCGGTCTCCAGAAGCCCCGCGACACCCGAGGCTGGCGCGGGCTGCCCGGGACGCGCTGCCAACAGCCTCCCGCTCGCGAGGAGCATCTCCCCAGCCACGGCTTCCGAGGCCAGCTCGGTCCCTCCGCCATCCTCGAGTCCTCCGACATGTTTCCCGGAGACAGGGAGGTGGGGAGAAGGGGAAACGGCCGAACGTCTGCATGCAGACTCTGCCGCAGCACAAGAAGAGAAGAGGAGGAAGGAGGCTAGCGAAGAGGCGGCGATTAAACCGATTCCATCGACAATAAGACTCCTCATCACCCCCGGCAGGGGAGGCTCGGATACACCCACCCGGGCAGCGGCTCGGGGCTTGGTGGGCGTTCCTCCTCCCGGTGCCCCCGTGGCTGTGAAATCTCCCTAAACCAAGCACACGAGAACTCCCTTTCCTACGACTGACGGGAGGGGAGGAACAAAGAGACCCGCACGCCCTACACACACACGCACACACACACGCACACACACACGCACACTCGGCTCACCGATGCTCTAGGTATGCATTTCTGCAACCCCCGTGGCTTACACCTTCCCCACCTGCTCAGTGCATTCACCTGAAGGTAAAGAAAGAAAAAAAACACCACCCCGAGGGGATCGGTCGACGGGGCACCGTTAATTTCACATTCGGTTTTCCAGCAAACCACCACGAAAATCCCGCAGGACCTCGCGCGCCCGCGGGGTCCCCGCCGCCCCCGGCCCTCTCTGCGGGTTCCGCGAAGGCGCCCAGCGCGCCGCTGCGGACCCGACCGAGGGCTCCCCGGGCGGGCAGGACACTCGCCCAGCCCCTCCGCGGCAGCTGGAGGGCGGCGAGCGGACCGCGCGGTGGCAGCAACGCGGGATTCAACTTCCCAAACCTGCGGCGCGGACCCCGCTCCCTCCCGCGGCGCTGCGGCCGGCGCCGAGACCCCCAGCGCCCGCAGCCGCCCCCGCTTGGGCTCCGGCAGTTGCACTCTCCGCCCCCTCTTTCCTTCACCTCCCCCAGCCACCACCTTTTCAAAATTCGTGCATCGGTGCAAAGCAGACATTTTGATGTCATTTACTTAGCACCGCTCGGTTTCAGAGGCAACATCTTACCCAGTCGCCTGGAGGTGTGGGCAGCGCACCGATGGGTCCGGGGGCGCGAGGCTCGGCTGCTCGGTCCTCTAGCGGAGCGGGTTTGCTGCCATCCGCCCAACTTCAGCACCCAGCGGGCGAGGAGAGAGGGAGAGAGGCGAGGATGGAGGGGAGAGGGGAAGGGGAGGAGGGAGGGTGGGCGGGGAGCGAGCGGGAGCCTCTCGGCAGCGCGCATGCGCCCCGCGGCGGGCGCAGCCCCTCGCCCGGCTCTGCCCGAGGTGCCGCTTCTTCCCCCGGCGCGCGGCCGCGTGAGTCACGGCCCCGCCCCTCCCGGCGGCCGGGCCCCCGCGCGCTCGCCTCGGCTCCGCGCCCACGGAGCGGGGGTCTCGGCGGAGCTCCGCGGGGACCCGGGAGCCTTCCTCGATCGGAGAGGCTCTGGCTCCTGGGCGCCTTCAACTTCCCGTTCGCCCGCAGCCCGCGCTGTTTCTCGTGCTCCGTGGGAAACCCGGAGCTCGTCTTTAGAGGGGGAGGAGCTCAGAAGCGGGGTCCCCGGGGAAGCCGTCCCTGCGTGGGGCTTCGAAAATCTGTGCAGTCCAGCAAGTTTGGCTCCCCGAAGGACTTGACCATATGAGGAGTTCTTAACTTTACTGACGTCTTCACCCAGAAATCCGACCCTTTACCCTAAAGAATTATTTCGGATCAGGTCTGGGGGCATATATTCTGTCCCAGGCGTCTGGACCACTGGGACCAGAGTTCTGAGCGAGAAAAGTCGATGACAAGGCAAGAGCCATGAATTACTAACCGAGGTGTTGATGCTGGGGGCCTGGAGCATCCTTTGGGGACAGCTCGGTAGCTCTCAGGACGGATAATTGTTCCATTCGCGCTCGGAGCCCAGCTTGATGGTGAAGAAGCTTTGCATGCTTAATGCATCATGAGCGCTAGATTGCATCTCCCGTGATTAAATTGAAGTGTTTGTGAGGGCGAATTAGGGAAGCTGGTGTCTCTCTTCAGACGTGACATCTGTGGGAAGAGGAGTGAGTTCCTGGCTGGAATGATTAGGCTTTTTTCTTATACCTACTTAAAACTGTTTACTTGTAAATATATATGATTTCCCATAGCTTGTGTGCGCCCCTACTTTCAAACAGTGTTACTCTTATGGCAGGCTCCCTTACTGAACACCTTCCTGGCCTTCCCCCCGCCCTCTTTCTATTTGAGTTTAGTGTGTTTTAGGATTTGCTCCAGGGCCTTCTTTCTCTAGCTACAGCATGGATTTTGGGTACCAGTGTTCTTCAACGCCTATCCCCTGAGCTGGTGTTGGTCTGTAAATTGTTCCATCCCGGTCTGTAATGAGAGATAAGGGCAGAAATTGAGAGTAACATTTAGAAACTTCCCTAGCATGCCTTGCTACCCAAGCACATTAGTCAGTTGCACTTGTATGTCTTATTTTATTTGTAAAGTAATTCATTTTTGTTGGATTTTATAGAAGTATTGGTCCATGATACAAAAAAAAATTTTTTTTTTTTTAAAGCAAACAAATGTTGAAGAAATTAGGTCTTATGGTTTGGCCAACCTCAAACTGTGTGTCACTCCCAGATTTATATCTTCAGTTCTGATCTCACTGAACACTTTTATGTTCTCTACAACCTTTACAGCTCCATTTGAAGAATAATTATATTGGTTAATATTTATTGAGCCATTACTGAGTGTTAGGTCCTAATCTAAATGTTTTACATGTGTTTCTTATTTTCTCTACAAGGTGTATGCTATTATTATGTTTAACAGACATCTCAAAAGAGAACTGCAGATATCCACCCCCTCCAAACCTGTTCCTCTTTAAATTGTTCCACCCAGTTACTCAAAATTTAGAAGTTATTCTTTGTTTTGTCTCTCTTTTTTTTACTCTACGTCTAATTAGTTAGCAAGTCACCTGTCTCAGCCTCCACAGTGTATCCCTAGTTCATCCACATCTTTCCCTCTCCACTGCTATAACCATAGCCTAAGCTTCTAGCTCCTCTCATAAGAACTATCACAAGAGCTACCAATCAGTCTCTCTTCCACAACCCCAAAACAACACATTCTCTAAATGACAGGTGAGTGATCTTTTAAAAACATAATTACATCAGCAGGCCTGGGTGGCTCAGTCATTGGGTGTCAGACTCTTGATTTCAGCTCAGGTATCCATCTCAGGGTTGTGAGATCAAGCCTTGTGTTGGGCTCCATGCTGAGTGTGGAACATACTTTAAAAAAAAAATTTAAAAACATAATCACATCATGTCATGTGCCCTCTTAAAACTCTCCAATGAGTTTTCATTGTACTTTTTTTTTTTTTTTTAAGATCTTATTTAGTTAGTTGACAGAGAGAGACAAGACAGTGAGAGAGGGAATACAAACAGGGGAAGTGGGAGAGGGAGAAGCAGGCTTCCTGTGGAGCTCGATGCAGGGCTCAAACCCAGGATACTGGGATCATGACCTGAGCCGAAGACAGATGCTTAACAACCGAGTCACCAGGTACCCCAAGTTTTCATTCTACTTTAAATGCAGCCTCTAATCCTTACCACTGCCCAGAAGGTTCTACATAATCTTGTCCCAGCCTACTTGTCTTATACTATGCACGCATAGACCATAGCTATGTGTAGTGTTGCCATATCAGCCTATATCTTTTACTTTCTTGAATAAGTCTAGCTTACAGTACTTGAGTCCTCTGCCTGGAGTCCTCTGCCCCCAGATCTTTAGAGTAGGCTCTTTCGTATCTTACAGGTCTCTGTTAGGGCATCACCTACTCAGGCTTTACCTAACCACTCAATGTAATCTTCCTCAGAGTTCTTCTGTCTTGCATCATCTTGCCTTATTTTCTTCCATATACTTTTCCCTATCTGAGTCAGCTTGCATTTGTTTACTTGTCTATTATCTCCTTCTCCCCATCTTGAATAAAGTATCTTGAGAGCTTTGCCTGGACTTTACATTGTTTTATCTCTAGAGCTCAGAACAAGATTCGGCACTCCGTATATACTCAGGATTTAGCGGATGAATTTGTCATTGAATGAATAAATAACACAATTAGAAAAAACATTATTTCTTTTTAAGCACTCTGTATTTTTTCTGATGCTTCTTCTTCTTCCTGGGTCCTCATTGCTGCATATCAGAATCTGTTGTTTCCCAGAAAAATGCAAATAGACTACATTGTTTCCTTTGCCCACTCCATCAAAGATGGCTCCTTGCAATGTCACACATTTATTTTTTAATTTTTAAAATTTAAAAAAAAATTTTGTTTATTTATTTGAAAGAGAGAGAGAGATAGTAGGGGCGCTTGGGTGGCTCAGTGGGTTAAAGCCTCTGCCTTCAGCTCAGGTCATGATCCCAGGGTCCTGGGTCAAGCTCCACATCGGGCTCTCTGCTCAGCAGGGAGCCTCTTCCCTTCTTCTCTCTCTGCCTGCCTCTCTGCCTACTTGTGATCTCTGTCAAATAAATAAATATAAAAATCTTAAAAAAAAAAAAAGAGTGAGAGACAATGACAGAGAGCCCATGACCAGGGAGGAAGGGTAGAGGGAGAAGCAGACTTCCTGCTGAGCAGGGATTTGAATACAGGATTCCATCCCAGGACGCTGGGATCATGACCTGAACGGAGGGCAGACACTTAACTGACTGAGCCACCCAGGTGCCCCGCAATGTCACACATTTAAACTAGATTCCAGGGTTCTGTTCATAGAACTAACTTTATGGCAAGCATCATCAGCAAAAAAGAGATCTTTTACTTCCATGAACTTCTCTAAACTACAATAATGGATACATGGGCAGTGTTTTGCACCTATGACAGTTTGGATATCCTGTCCATGATTTACTTGCTGAAGTCAAATGCAACTTCCTGGTGACTTTCTTTCACAGTTATAATTTGTTGTGAAATCCTTTATGCATTAACTAGAATCTTCATTGACAATGTTCTCGGAACTGGATGTATTGCCTACACCGAGTATTGAAGAGATGGGTGGAAGTGACCACAGTTATAATGACCTTCCTCATAGAGTTTGAATACTTGTGATCTATGTGTACATCTGGGTCTTAGGAAATATTTGCAATAGCAATGCATCAAATAGTGGCTTGGTAAATAAGTCAATTCAACAAACTTTATTAATGTCTACCATATGCCTGGAATTATATCTTCAAGTTTTTTGCAAAAAATGTAAATGTTATACAAAATTATTATATATGAGTCAGAAATGGATTTCAGTTCATTTTAGCCATGGAGATGCCTTCTCTTTGCACAGAATTTTGGAGCTCCTTCGGCTTATCATTTTCAAGCAGCTGTGTGGTAACTATGAAAATCAGTGTTTGATCATGATCATTTCCATACCATTACGAATGCATTTTTCAAGTAGAATCTGGATACAACAGCAGATTTTGGCATAATGACTTCATAGTAAGGCAGACAGGAGATTAGTAAGCAAGATATTTACAGACAGAAAATATTGGAAAAGGACAGAACATCAAAATGTTTACAGTACGCTTATTCATATTTGGGGGTCTTTTTCATCATTAGGAGACCCGAAGTCTACCTCAGTGAGTCTGGTAACGTTGGAAGGTTATTTCAGGAAGAAATTATGTAGCATCTTTACGTTTCGTTTTCTCTTTTCCAACATGCTCATTTTTAAAAAAGCAATTATTTTACCTTTGAAAAGCAGAGGGGGGCACGTGGGTGGTTCAGTCAGTTTAGCATCTGCCTTTGGTTCAAGTCATGAACCCAGAGTCCTGGGATTGAGCCCCACATTGGGCTCCCTGCTCAGCGGAGAACCTGATTCTCCCTCTCCCTCTGCCTGCTGCTCTGCTTGCTTGTGCTCTATCACTCTCAAATAAATAAATAAAATCTTAAAAAAAAGAAAAGGAAAAAAAAGCAGAGGGAAAAGGAGGAAATTTGCTTCAATCCAGGAAATCCTGACTCCTCTGTCTAGGCAAACTTCTCCAGCCTAGAGCCAGAAAGATAGTTAAAATATGACTGCTTAAACACACATTTTTCTTTACTCTTGGTAAACAGAACTTTCCATGTTTCTTCAATTGGGTTTAATCAAACCATAGAGACAGATTCTTCTCAGGGAACTGATTTAGATGGAAACAGTCTGATTCCCAGATAAAATGAGATATAATTAGAGTTTCACATTTTATATGTACGTTTTTATAAATCATGAGTTATTA